GTTTTTCAGTCTCTGTTTCCCTTCACACTCATTTTGACACCACTTAAAGCCCGCCTCCCCCCTCCACCTCCTCCAGCTCAGCATCATTAGCCGTGACCGGTGAGCCTGGAGGCGCTGCCTGAATCCCCTGCCCCCAAAATCCCAATCCAAGTCTTTTGCTCCTCCCTCTCCTCTCATCCTCCTCCACTCCATCTCTCTTCCAACCAGCCAGGCAGCCCACTCACTCACTTGCTTGCCCACTCACTGAAGGTGTGAGGCAGGGGAGGGGCATCCATGCACCGGCTTGGCTGCCTGCCATTTTATTGTTTTGGGGTGGATTTTTTTTTGTTCCTTCTTCTTCTTCTTCTTCTCTCAGTCATCCTCATTCTTGCCCTCTCTCTCGTCACTGATCCACCTCCGCCCCTCCTCTCTCTCCTGGTTGAGCGTACAGCGAGTCCTCAGCAACACAGCAAGTGGAGAGAGAGAAAGAGAGAGAGAAAGAGGGGGAGAGCGCAGCCTCAGTTTGAAGTCTCCAGTCTGTCTCCTCAGCCTCCAGTATTGTTGTTGTTATTTACCCTCCTGCTTGGCATTTTCCTCTCAGCACACCTTTTGTGTGGCTGTCTCATGTTCGGCTCTCCAGAAGGCGCCTCTGTCTCTATCTAGCTCTCGCTCTTTCCTTCTTCTGCTCATTCTCTCTCTCCATCTGACTCTGCGGTGAAGAGCGTCTTTGCATGTGTGTGACGGCAGACCAGCGAGGATGCGGATACCAGCGGCTGCCTGCAGCTGCCACAATCCCGTGGGCTGTTCAAGTTAAACGTTGCCGGTAAACTGGTTATTCGCTTTACATTTGGGGTTAGGAGAGAAGGACGGAAGCACAGGTGGAAATGTTGCATGCAGGTGTGAGGATGTGGATGACGGAGAGACGAGGGTGATGATGCTGACCTGAATATGTTGGTGATGCTGTCAGTGCTGGCGTGAGGTGTTTTTACTGTGTGTGTGCCTCAAACCGACATAGTCTGTGCCAAATGTTACTCTTTGATGAAGAGTGGAGGTGTGTGTGGGGTTTGTTTAGTGTGTGGGTGTGTGTTGATGCTATAGACACTGTGATCTGTTGTGTTGTGTGTACATGTGAAATCTTGCTGCCATGCTTGTTGGTACACGTGTGTCTGCCTACATGTGCCTGCTGTGCCTCATTAAAAATTCATGTCTGTGTGTTTGACCTTGTATTTCCCACTGTATATGTTGCTGGTGTGTTTATGTAAAGAACCTGTTTTATGGAGCTAATGAAAATGTACATGTGTGAATTATGATAAAGTAGTCTGCCTCTTGTGCAATCAAACATGTGTTTCTCTTATGAACTGAACACACAATCACCACTTTGAATAAGATTGTTTTGGTGTGTCCAACTCTTTTTAAAATGAAGAATCACATTATACACACCTACAGTTATTTACAGTATATATGCTCATCTAGTACTGACACCTCTCTCTCTCTCTCTCTCTCTCTCTTTCCTTTCTCTTCTTCCCCTGCCTCTCTCGCCTAGCTGGGGGACTGGGTGTGTGAGAAGATGCTGATGGCGAGGGACAGCAGCCGAGACGAGACCCAGAAGCTTCACAAGAAATGGCTGAAGCACCAGGCCTTCATGGCCGAGCTGGCCCAGAATAAGGAATGGCTGGACAAAATTGAAAAGGTCAGTGCTGCCGGTCCTCCAAATAATAGAGTTTTACTGCCTGGTACTTTTTTTTCTCTCTTGCTTGAAACTTTAAATGGTCATTCTGGTGTTCAGTGAGTTTTAAGCTGCCTTATAACAGGATAAAGCAGCACTGTGGGATGTGGAATAATGCTTTTTGTATTGTATTGTGTAGTATTTGTGTTTCTTATGATAGTGAGCAGGGGAGGATGTCAGGATAGAGACAGTGACAAGAAATTACATGAAATATTAGTTTAAAAGTGAAGTAATTTGTCTGGACTTGGGCACACTTACCTAAATATTATAATTTGTGCATAGATAGTTCATTGTGAAGAAAGAATACAGGGTTAGACAACAAATGTAAACATTTGTCTTAAAGTATGTTTTCTGTTGTTGCAGCATGTGTTGATACTGCAGATTGATTTACCTCAACAAAATAAATTATTGTGTAATTTTGTTTGTATCAGTGTTCCTGCAATGTGTGCACAGATGATTTTCCATCTCTGAAGCTTTGTTTGTTGTCATATGTTGCTTTGAACAGTCATATATCCAAGTGCTGAATACCAGGGGCCATTGTGACAAAACGTTATTGCAAATGTTTCAATTATGATGAAGTATCGTCGGAGATGAAGTCTATACTCATCAACTGTTCACACTGAGTCTACAGTTTAAAAAAGCCTGTAATATGAAGAGATGAATAGAAAGTAGAAGAACAAATGAAAAGGTACATATCTTTGTGTTGAATCATACAGTAGATGCCAGCTAGCCTACTGTGCTAATGGTTAGCAAGAGAAAACAATGTTGATTCTAGGTGTATGAGAAAGATTAATAGCAGTTGCCAAACTGTTTAGAGATTTATTCATGTAATTTTAAAGAGAAAGTGACCTCGTATGTCTGTTTCACTTCAGACAGACATCACTGATGTAAACAAAGCTTGGACATCAATTATCAGAGTTACACATCCTTTCATTACCCAGTGTCACATTTATTTAAAACTGTTTTACACAACAGTCCCTGTACCACTAAAGCGCTAAACTCACTCAATGAAAGCGTAACAAAGCCAGTGGCAAGGGCAGAAAGTATTACAGAGGGTTTTTAAATAGCGAGGGGGGGGGGGCCTGTAACCTTCACCACTTCTCTGTGTCCCGATAGGATCTGTTTCATATTAAGGAGATTTATACAGCACATCAGCCTCTTGTCTAAAGCTGCAGTCGACACAGACGTAATTGGGTTAGCCAGTGTTTCCCCAGCTGCACGTCCAGGTTTCACTGGGATGACTTTGGGCTGTTGTGTTCACACGTCTGACTGGCTGCAGTGACGTGAATCTGAATGTGTAAAATCCGTAGTGCTGGTCAGTAGAACTGTAGTTCAGTGCCACGTTCCCTCAGGCCGCCTGTAACTCATCGCTGATCTGTGATCCTATTTTAAGGCAAAGTCACACTGTGTTGTGTGTGTGTGTGCGTGACTCTGTATTTGGCCTGTGAGAGGCAGTGAAGGCGATAATTGAATGACATTTGCTCATGTTATAATACTACAGATGGCCTGAGATGTTATATTGCTGTCTGTGTTGTCAGTAGATTTCTGCACCTCTCCGGTTTAATTGCTTGTTGTGATCCACAGAAAACATGAATGTGTGCTCAAGGGTTGTGTTCATATGTCAGAAGAAACTTTACTTTTAGGCCACAAGGTAGAGGTAAATATATTAGAGATGATTTTCAGGGTTTACCTGTGTACCGCACAGTTATGGCTCCATGAGTTTTCACTTTGTGTTAAAATTCTGCAAAAGTAAAGCCTGTTAAATTAAAGCTAAACAAGGCTAACGGATGATAAAGCTAAAGTTGTCTCTAATTCACGTCCATGCTTGTCCATCTGACCTGCTGATGCAGTTTCAGGTCATCAGATTATGTTAGCCATCAGCTGTCTCACTGTGCCTGTTATCAGTACAAAATATAAGATATTGTATGTGATGGCCCTTCAGAGTGAGTTACAGTGAGTGGCTGCTGAAAGAGTTTTGACAGGACACATGGATGCTGATGACCCCATATGGGCTGTTGTAGAAAATGTGACTGTGAAATTAGCAGGCTGCAGTTTTATCTGTGCAGAGTGTATGACATAAACAAACCTTGACTGTACATCTGTTCTGAGGAAAGCCAAGGATTGAGACTACATGTATTATCATATAGCTCAGCACTTAGACGGTATTACTGTCTGAAACCATAAATATTGCTATACTGAGTGTGCTGCTTTGATGGTGCATACAGTTGACTGGGGCATAATGACTCGATCCTCTGCAGTCTCATCCTGGGCAGGGCTGAAACTGAACTCCCCTGGTGGGAGCAGAGTGATGGAGCCAAGGCACAACATTGTTTTATGTATTATCTGTGCAATTACTGTGATATACACATTGGAGTCATTGAGACTAGAACTGAAATGAATCAGTTAATATCAATTGATGTTAACTATTTTAATATATTTATCAAACATAGATGCCAACCATTTAAAGATTGCAGCCTAAATTTGCTGCTTTTCCTTTGCCTTAGATTAAAGTAAAATAAATGTCTTTGGGTTTTCGACTGTTGGCCAGACAAGAGAAGCTATTTTAATACATCACTTTGGACTCCGAAAATGGTGATTTTTCACTCTTTCATGATGTTTTAATAGACCAAACAGTTGATCAATGAATCAAATAAATAATTAGCAGTTGAATCAATAATGAAAATAATTGTTAGTTGCAGCTGTAGTACAGGTATATGGGCTGACATAATTACAGTTAAGTAATACTCCATCATGCAGCATCACAGATATAATAGGCATTTTCCAGTCAGAGCCATTAGAAAAAGATGTTACATGACTTTGTGCAGAAATCTTGTTTGGGGGGTGCAGGGTAGCTCACCTGGTAGTGCGCCTCATGTAGGTTGAGTCCTTACCGCAGTGCCCCATTGGTCGATTCCAACCTGTGCCCTTTGCTGCATGTTGTCCCCTCTCTCTCTCTCTCCCCCATCTCCTGTCTATTTTCACCTTTTCTATCAAAATAAAGGCATAAAAAGTCCAATAAATATCTTGTTTTGTACGGACGTTTGGTCCAGTGTGTCTGGTAATTTGAGGGATTTAGAGAAATTAAACCTCCCAACCCACCCCTATCATCTTAAACATGTTCTTTAGGAGTTCAAATCTGGATAATCATGTCGGTACGGAAGTGACTGAGTGGTGCTGCCAAGCAGCGGTAAACCTTTTAGCCCTTGAGGCTAACGTTAGCTAGCATACTACTGTAGTCAGATATTAAAACTTAAAGTCTCACCTCCAGTTCTCGCTGAAGAACAGACATATTAGACTTCTGTTTTAGTTTTTTCTCACTGCAAGGAATGAATGTTACTACAGAAAGTTGTTCTGCTATGTCAGTCTAACCATTTCACGTGCGGTGGTGCATTGCTCCCTCTGACACGATGATCTCCATTACATCCTGTACTGTGTCTATGTTTGAGATTAGGGAAAGGAAAATCTGATGCAACCTGATTTCAGAATCGGTTAGGATTTTAAAACTTTTGTAGTTTTGCTGAGGATTGTACGGCCTTGTACAATCAGAACAGATTAGCTTCAAATAAACCAGTGAAGTTCAGGTATTACATCATCTCTCCGTCCTTGTCCAATCAGCTCTCTGATCACTTTAACACTGTGGTTGTTGGCTATACAGGCAGGCAGCTTCACCCGCTACTGGCCTATAAGCTGCTCATTATGTCTAATTATTGTATGCCTGTATCTGAGAACCCAGTCATTTCTCTCTATTTCTTCTTCTATAGTGGGCATTGTGAAGTTGGTGTGTGAGAATATGTGTGCATGCGTGCGTGTAGTGTGTGTGTAGACAGTGTATGTTAGCATGTCTATAACGTGGGCACATGATGTGGGGAAATTGGCTGACTGATGTGTAATGATGTGCAGTGATATAATGTAGAGAGAGCAGCACAGCGAGGCCTGAGAGCACCGAGCTGTTTCCATTATAGATTCATAGGTTGGGTTACTGGAAAATGCTTACAGGAGGGGAGAGAGAGAGAGTGACAGTGACAGAGGAGGAAGAGAAGGAACACTGTGGTTTCTTGTTGTGTTTTGTTCTTTTCTGTTATTTTAGATAGTGATGAAAAAAAGGTGGATTGTTTGCATAAACAATGTAAATAATTGACATGATGACAGTTCAAAGTGGCTTTGGTTGTCTAAAATGTTGTAAAAGAGAATCTGCTGTTGCTCTGATGTATAAAGGAGTCCATTGTGGTTTTAACGCCCACAAGCTGAAGTATCAGAATATTGCTAAATGCATTTCTTTGTTTGTATCTTCAGATGAAAGTGTGTAATTTGGCTGACAGTAAGAAACAATAACAACCTACTCAACACCAAACAATGCCGAAATCCTAAAATACTTTCCTTTCTATGTAGATTCTTTTTAGTTTTTTATAATAAATGCCCCATTTTTACTGCAAATAGCCCGACTTGACTGCTTGCAACCATATCAAAGGTGTTAAGAGTAGAGACTTTTATGAAGCCTGTTCACACTGTAGGATGAGTCTCCTTCTCCATCCTAACCAACATGTATTTAAAACACGCTCAAAATCTCTATTAAAACTATGTGGTTTGAACAAATTGTCAGCAAAGAAATTGAGAAAAATATGGTCATGTTAACATTTTTTACACACATAAGCAACTGCATGTATTTTTATAATAGTACACTATGATCCTGTGTGATACAGAACACTGCTGCTGAAGCTGAGAAGATAAAGGGTGAGACAGCACTTTTATTTTTATTGCAAGAAAGGATTTATCACGGTGCAGGTAGAGGAATTGGCCTAATAAGACATTTTAAGAAAAGTTTGTGTGTCTACTGTGGATATTTACTTGTTTCTTTATGAGGATCAATTCCAGACATTAACAATGAGGACATTTTTAGAAAGTAGAGACATTTTGGCTCATCATCTCTTCTTCGAACTATTTAAGGACTTGGTTTTTGGGTTAAG